TTTTCATTATTCCTTAAATAACCTTTCTTCCTACCTAGGTGGTTCAAGAAGAAGATATTCGACAATTCTTTGACGGAATGCAGTCAAGAAAGCGTCAGAGGACAAGCCAGGGCTTTGTTCAACCGTTTTGTCGTTAATGTTTCTTGTGAAGCCTTCCACACCGCATTTATTATAACATTTCTGCCTTGCAAGGTCATTATCCCGGCAAATTAAACGCACAATCAGTGGTAGCGACAGAGGGAGGAAGGGGTAATAAGTCGTCAGACAAGTCAACCCCCCATTTAAACCAGAAAAAAAAAACTAATTCATTAATACGATCTTTAAGCAAAGAACAACTTGTGATTGGCCAAAATATTTACCAGTTGTCTCGAGGCCAGGGAGCGCACCTTCCTGGACCTCGATTATCACTGCCAAAAATTGTCATGCCCCTTGACAGAGAGCTTACCGCTTCTCCGTTGGGGAAATTCTAGCCCCAGCACTTTACATAATATGAGAATGTGTTTATGTGTTATCATAGGCTGATCCTTTGTAATTTAAATATTGCATCCAAGTACATTACACACACACTTTTGTTGGAAGCTTCTGATTTGCAAATTACATGCTCTCTCCTTTAAAATCAATTTTTGCACCAATGGCGTTCCATACCATACTTTTTCTGGGATTACATTCATTTCAGGTAACATAACAAAAACAGATGCTGGTGGCGCTCTCTGAAATTATCTAACACTCTATGAAAAGTCAGTACAGTAAATTAGAGAATTGTGGCAGGTCTACCTTTAAGTGTACATTGTTACAGTATATTTGGTTCACTGCACTTATAGGGCAAAATCACAGCCAGAATCTGTTGCTAGTTATAATAACTGTTTTTAAGATAGTACCTGTATAATTGCCATGCCACAAAAAAGGCAATAGTTTCTTAGACAAACTACAAAAGGTGTACTTAAAATGTTTTCTCTCCAGATATTATGTATACATATGATATGAATTTCACCTGTTTATTTTGATGAATATTGCTGTTATGCAAAGAATCTTTAAGATATATTGTCTGTGCTTAGATTTGTGTATGCATGGTAATCTTACAGTTGAAAATCAGAAACCAGTTTCATTACCAATATAACACTGCTCCTATATTATTTGTACAGACTCTAGATGGTAATCTGTTTATGGATTTTTGTAGTAAAGTTTTTAAATTAGAGAACTGATCTTGATCTTTCATTGGAAGTTGATTAATCTACACATTTCAGTTCAAGTGTTTTAAGAATTCTCAAAATTAAATGGCTGTACATTGTACGAAATGAAGTACCGTAATTGATTTTTCTGTCATTGGCGGGTCGAATAACGGAGTGGTTAAGGCAGGGCCTGCAACGTACATCCATAATATCAGCGCTGGTTCAAACAGCATGCTTGCCTGTGGATCTGGTAATGCAACAAGTCTTCTCCGATAAAGACTATAAACTGTAGGCCTACATTCATTCTCAAAATTAGATGGTTGTACATTGTACGAACTGACATACAGTAATTGATTTTTTGTCATTGGAATTGATAGCTCATTTGATAATTTTAAATATGTACTTAGGACAGTCGCTCAGCTGGCTACTGTTGGTAACTAGTGTGTGTGCGCTGAACCGTGGAAATCAAATCAAATGCTGAAACCAAGGAGGCAAGCCTGTGAACAGATTCCGGTAACTAACTGGATTACAAACTCTTTAAATTACTGAAACGATTGGTCTCCGGTTCAATTCCCATCGCTGCCCTCCTTGTGTTTCAGCTGCTTCATAGAAAGATACACTCGCGACCTAGAACGAGGTGTGTACAATGCGCGAAAGTTGTTACGAGACATATGGTAAACCAGAGAGAGCCATCTGGAAAGTTATGGTATAGGGAGGTGGAATTTTATGATGGTCGTGCACAATCTTCCATGACCATCTTCATTTTGTTGTCGAATTTTGGACAAGGCAACAGGTTGGGGAGTTAGCCATGTGTAAATTTAAATAAACAATGTACCCCACAGCTCATTGCAGCTCCGAGTCGCGTCTCAAACAAGAAATACCTGTTGTTTCTGTGTATCCCGCTAAATTTTTATACGTAACTGACATGAGATCCATGTTCATTGTTTGATATTTTATTGCATCGCACATTCTAGCTAAAGGGTGTTCTGGGTACATTGTGTCCAGCAGATACCAAGACTTGAATGCCTACCAGCAACAATGCCAGGATATCAAGATACCAGTATTCTTTTTTCCTTAGAATAATAATCAATTGGAACAAGCTTTCCCAATATCTAACTTCCCTTCCAACCCTGGAGCAATTTAAATCTGCAATTCAACCTAATTACAAACACACAACCGCACCCAGTACATCATTGATCCATTGCCGTGTTTCACAATGAATATGAAGACTGAAATGCGACGATTATGCGGTTGGTGCAATATGACCCATTTGCATGCTAAAGAACGCAGTACTGTCTTTGGAAGAGCAGGGGACTGTCCCTGCCCAATCATCACCAGAAATAAGTCTTCTTTAGGATTATGCTTGGTGTTTACACTGAATAAATCCAATCCAATAATTCAATGTTTTACTTGAAATTTGAGGTTTTCTAGATTTTATTACACACAGTGCATCACACAATCTAATTTATATATTGTATGATGCTACATTATTATGCTACATATTTATAATTATAATTATATATTGTACATATAACTATATTTATATATAAATATACCCATAAAGTACAATGTGTATATATTTTAAATAAATATGTACATATATGTATATATACATACTGTATATATATATATATATATATATATATATATCTACACATGCATGGAAATTTAATTAAAACAAAAACCCAGTTAGAAAATCTAAAAACAAAATCTAAAAATATTTACTACATTTAAAATTGAAAATAAATATAACACTAACAGATTTGAAAAGGAAATTAAAAACAGTATTGCATAATCCAATTATATTAATGTGTCCTAACTCTGTCCAAAAAAAAAGGGGAGGTAATTATTATTCAAGCCGATGTCTTTCAATGTCCATTTTCTAAAACTTCTTCTGAAGTTACACTGCTAGCCTCAAGATTAGTTCCAGCAGTAGGTGGCTCCACCACATTGCTGGCTTCTTCTTTCTTGGTATCTTCGGACGACTGTGCTACAATATTCCCCCTCAGTGAGAGGTTCTGCAAATCTGGATCACCATTTGCCACGATCTCTGGCAATTGTAATAAATGAGAGGCATGTTTATCATCTGCAATACGACTTAGATCTTCCTTCGGGTGGCCTAGTGGATCTGGAAGCGTACTTTCATCCCAATTCTCTGCAATTTCTTTCGATTTTTTGGAGTGATTGATAGCATTTTGTAGAATTCTTTTCTCACCTAGCCTAAGCTGGATGCATTGTCTGGAGAACTCTGAAATATCACTCTGCTCGAGAAGTGCTTTATCCTCCTGGTAAAAATCAATGAATATGCAAATTTTATCAGTTATGCAAGAGAAATATATAAATCATTAAATCGAAATGTCAGGTAGCCATACGATGAATTGATAGCGAGCCCACCATTAATTCCACCAATAACTCCATTAAATGTGAATTTTTAAAAACCATACTTATAGAGGGTCACCCAGAGTATTCTAGAAGGTTTAGTAGGGCCCTCTTAGATAAATGAAATAATGTGCTACTAGCAAAGCCTCATTATAAGGGATTGGAAGGCAAGCATCTTAACCACCAAGCTACAGGTCCACTCCATTAAACTGCATGCTGGAGCACAACTTGGATTCATCCCCAGGGAGTGAAGCTGAGAGCAAAACAGAGAGCGAAGGCATTTGCTTGTATTGAATGTCATATGGTTCCAGTAAAGTACATTGTCTCTGGACTCACCTCAACAGTTGTTTTGTAAAGTCTTAACAGAAGGATCAGCCTGGTTTCTAAGAATATCCACAGCTTGATCTCGTTTGTTTTACTCACTGGTAATTTATCTTTCAACAAGAACTCCAGCATTTCCTGTTTTCTCTCATATTTGAAACGAACATTCAGTTCATCTACAAGAAAAAGAATATCCATAGATCACAGAACCACACCACATGGAACTACAAGGTACAGGGAACCATGACACAGGGAACCATAGCACACCAAACCACAAAACACAAAACCATATCTAACTGAACCACAACATAAAGCACCACAGCACACAGAACCACATGGTTCACAAAACCACAAGACACAAAACCATTGCTCACAGTAGGCCCTACTATAGAACAGGAAACCATAGCACACAACCACAAAACACAGAACCAAAGCTCACACGACTGGCACACACAATAATAATAGATAGGTACAGATAGGTACTTACCAAATCGCTCACTTGTAAATTTCACACCGATTCAAAAACTTATAAATAATTGAATTTATGTCCTATAACTACAGTAAGTTTCATTACAAGGCTTAGGTAGTGGATTTTCTTTTAATCATGCTTCAGACAGGATAACCACCAAAGTACAGTATTATATACATATAAATAAATAAACCATTAAACAGCAGTTGTTATTGTTGGTATATATAGATTGTGTGGTGAATGTATTACTTTATTTTGTTTAAGTAATATATACAAAAGGGGACTATTTTAAAACTGTTACAAAAATAAAATATACTGCGAGAAAAAAAAAACAATTATAATAATAAAATAATTAATGCAACAATTCTAACCTTCAGTCATGCAGAATATCCTTAAGAAAACAAGAAGTTGTTTGCTCAGCGGATTATCACCAGGAAGCACTGTGTAAGTATCGTTCCTTAAAAGAAAACAACAAACACTCAGAATACAAATATGGCTTACACAAAAATAAACATAATTTACAATATGCAATAAACCGAATTAGTCACCAAAACAAAGCTACTGAATACTAAGCCTCCTCTTGAATAAATTTTTTTAAAATCCTCAAACTTATTTATTTGTACATTTTATTGTAAAATAACTTATCAGAAAGCCTTGGTATATATATATATATCTTTAATGAATGACAAAATTTTAACCGGTTAGATTTGAAATGGAGTGAAATAAACTGTGGAAAACTTGAGCATGTTTGGATAGTCTCAGCGCATGAACATGGGCCTAGCCCTAGATTAGAGAGCCATACGAACAATGTTCCTCTAACTTATTGGTTATAGTAGTCAAAAGAAACATCTTATTCTACTATTTAAGTTTAAATATTTCATACAGAAATTGCAACAAAATGACTTGGCGACAGTATTTAAGCTGAATGTGTACCTATAAATCAACAACAATCCTTAAAGCATGGTTTCCATACAATTGCTACACTCTCACTACAGATTTTCAGTGCAATCGTAGTACCCAGTCCCTACACAATTGGGAAGGCTCCAAGATTCGACCGACCAATCGGCATCTCCGAAAGCTGTCGGCGATGGCGTGTGGCGATTGTATGGAAACCAAGCTTTAGTCAGCGCTGGATGTGGCGAGTCCCGCAAGTGATAGGTTTAGGTTCCCTAGAAGGCTCCTCAAAACTCTTCATATTTTTTAGTCTGAATGGAAATGTAAATCAAATCGACCTTAGTATCATGAATCTATGAATCATTCAAAATGTATACGTTAATATCAAAGGTATCTTCTTTGCTAACTTCATTACATTTAAGGTGATTTAATATACACCACTTTCGACTCTGCTCAATGCATTTGCATAGCTCTTTGGGCTTTTTGTACACTTTTTCCAATTGGTATTGATTCATTCATATACATCTTTAATTTCATTTGCCAGATCTTCTAATCATTGAATTTTAGTAATTGTAGTATGAAATTTGTTGGAAATTTATCAACTGCGGTAATTGCAGATTGGTTCATACGAACAAAAGGAAATATTATAATGTAGGCCTACAGATGTAATGGACATAAAACAACTTCTTCACTCAAATGAATGGAAATTTAAATAGAATTTTCATGATTTATGGGTTTCAGAAATATATTAAATAAGGCCCTTAAGATGCTACTTCGTCGGAGCTTCCGGGGGCTTTTCCTCCAGACCACACATAAATGGTCCCCAGCCTAATGCTCGCATTGCTTGCAAACTCACCCAACCTGCCCTACACTACATCAAAAATCCTGCTTAGGGTGCCTGATATAAAAATATAGTACCTATATAGCATATAGTATATATTACTACATACATCATAAATGGACCTTTTGAATTGACTTACGAGCGTAGGCTATACATGGCCAACAGTTCCATCTTCAACTGATACAGTTTATCGTTCTTGCTCATTCCGAGTTGGATTGCCACGCCATCGTCCTCGTTTCCAGGAAAAACAAAACCATTGTGCACCAAAAGTTCCATGTTTGTCCTCTTTCCATAATAAATTAGAACCTGCTCGTTGGGTTGGTAATTTTTAAGAGCAAGACTGCTGGAGCAATTTTGTGCTAAGTCAAAGCCTGTCCGTATCTGATAGGAACAAAATAATTTACATTTTCTAGATGTTAGTTGTGATTTGATTTTCAATGCTAAAGTTTTTGCTGTTTATTCTCCACTCTAGGGTACACATATAGAGGAGGGAAGCTGTCTGGGAGTAAGGGCCTGGCAATATCTGATGGGGTCCATATTGCTAAGCTTATGGCAACGAGATAAAACTGGACAATCTTGGGCTACTTTAGCCTGTTCTGAAATGCTTTATAACATATTTAAAAAGAAATTATATCAAAAAAAGAAAAATTTGTTAATTATTTGTTCTGATATGTCATATTCTAATACATAGTCTGTTTAACAAGGTGCTAAAGTTCCCCCTAGTGCCACAAATGATTGGACCTGTCATAATTTTCCTAGTAACGTATACATAGGCAGGTCTTATTGTGCACCACCAAAATCATTTCAATGCTGCATGCTTTGCGTATGGGTACAGAAATCGTAGTACAGATAAGTAAATAGATAGCCAGATGTATTAAAGTAGATAGATGGATCTACATAGACAAGTTAAAAGAACAGATATAAAGACCTATAAGTACTTCTTAAAAAAAGCAATTCTTGAAAATAATGGACCTGTCAACATCAACATAAAGAACCAAACAACTTTAAGTGTTGCAGAATGGAATAAGACAAAGGTATCGAAGCTTCACACACCTTTCCATTGGTGTGATTACACATGTCCCAGACTGGTATAAGAGCAGTACATTGGAACTTCCTATCTGTAGATGGTATCTGGTTCTGACGGGTCATCACCGTGGAAACTGCCCATCTACCAAGATAAAAGGTCAAAGAGATGTGTAACACTACACCGAAATACATTAGATGGTTCCGTGTTTAGTTTTCAACCAATGTGTATCTAATCAAATAAGCTAGACTGCCCTCTATAATAAACTGTTTCATCCAAATAACCTGTTAATTGACTTCATCTGCCCTCCATAGACCATGATATAAAGAAAATTGTTTTCAATTTGCATCATTTGCCCTCCATAAGAAAGAATGAATATACTGTACCTATAACCGTCATAGGTGAATGTGTTTTTTAATGGAATATCTGCAACATCTGGGCTTGTCTGTAAAAAAAAAAAAACAATAAACATCTAAATATTGCATTATAAACTTATTATTTAAACATTCATATCATTGTTGTCATTTGTTTATATTACAAACATAAAATCTTAAAGATAATTAATAATGTCTTAGACAAATGCTCAAAAAAACAAAAAAACAAACATGTATAAAAAGACTGAACATGTACAGCTTCAGAATGCCCATTCCTCTCTCTTAAGTGTCAGGACCAGAGTGTGCCAATGCTTTGAGGCAATCACCACTCCTCTCCTCACAGCAAGTCTGTTTAAACTATTCATACTCCTGGGTAAAGAGGGACAAGTGCAAATAAAGTGTCTTGCACAGCAATAGTTTTGGAACTTTTTCCAAGAGGTTGTGCCAAACGTTTCCACATACTAACAGTATATAAGGTAATTATGTAATGAATTATTTACTTACATGAAATAACTTATTAAAGTAGGCATATTGTCTGGCAATATTCTTGTATTGTTTCATAGATTCACCTGTGGATTTAAAAATATATATTTAAAAATAAAACAAAAAATTCAAATAAATATAATGGTGATTATATTTTAGTGTTGTTTTCACAAAATGAGTTGCAAATGATAACTGGGCCAGAAGCAGTAACATGAAATTGAATGCCAGTAAATGCAGATCGCCAACACTACAATCTACAGGAAACTTCATTATGATAAACCTTAAAATAATGGGGGAAACTGAACTTTACAGAACCAAAACATCAGTAAAATACTAGGAGTACACATCAGCAAGTATCTGAAATGGAACCATCATATTACAGAAAAGATCAAGAATGCAAGTTGTACACTATTTATGGTTAAATTATTGAAACGTCTGTGGGCCAATTTAATATTTAAAACAATAATATGAAGAAATAACAATATTAACAATGCTATTACTGTTAATATTAAAATTATTAATAATAATAATTCTTGTTGTAATAGAGAATCCCATGATTTGAAACTGTTTCTGACTGTCTATATTTTTATTTTATTTATTATTAGAAACTTACTGTATGCCTGAGAACCTTGAAGAAGATTCAGCTCTTCTTCGTTGAAATACAAAGGTACAGAATACGAGTGTGGCAGACAATCTATAAAAAAAAAAACAAGAAAATTGAAATTCATTCATTAATACAAATTAGCATATTCAATATCTAACTCAGTTAAACACATGGAGACAAGTAGGAATGGGGTATCGTTTGCAAAGCAAGTGTCTTTAGGGGTTAGGAAGCAGTATAGTCATAATGGGAAAGTGGAAGTGAAGCAGTGTTGTAACACCTATGAACTGTCATTGGTTAAAACCAGGGCCTCAGCCAATGGTGTATCTAGGAGTGCACGTCACCCCCCCCTCCTCCCCAACAATACTCACACTCCCCAGTCGCCCTTGCCCCACTAAAAATGTTTGAACCAAAAAAATTATGCTCAAGTAGTTAAAAATCACTTTAATAACTCATTGAGCCCCCACTTCAACTTCGCCCCCGCCCACTAGTCGCCCCATTTAAAAACTTCTAGATATGCCACTGGCCACAGATCGAAAGGGGCCCGAAATCAGACCATGTGCCAAAATCGGACGAGCAGGGCCCTTTATGAGCAAGACCGTGTAAAAATACAAATTAAAATACACTTTTCAAACATCAAAAACAACAGAATGGATGAGGGCTTCACTCCATATCCCACTAGAACCTTAAGAGTCTCCTCCCCCCCCCCCCCCCCCCCCCCCCCCCCCACGCTCAGGGTAGAAAAGCCAGAAGAAGCCTTAATCATGGGCCTTAGGCCTCTTTGTTACACTACTGGAGTTAAGGGATGTTCTTTTGGATATGTCATGACATGAATGCAGAGGCGTAGCTAGGTGCGAAGGGCCCCAGTGCATATTCCGTCTCTGCAGCTGTCCTAAACAAATTCGTGGTACTTAAATTGCAGTAGTGAGTCAGGAAATTTGAAATAGAGGGATCAAGGAGGGATTTTCATAGGTTGAGGGTGGAGACCAACTCAGCCCCACCATGGTTGGGGCTGAGATAAGAACATTTATTATTATAGCACCTCTAGGTGGCTGGAAATAGCACTCTCAGACTTAAATTTTAATAGTTTAATTTCCTTTTTTTCTCATTTCTTTTATATAATTTTGAAAACATCGGGGGGCAGGGGCCGGCTGAGGCACCCTTGAATACACCACTGATTTGAAATCAACACGGTAATCAATAATTAATCCTCTAAAAACCGAATACTATTGAGGGGCCAGCTGGAAGTTTTATTCTTCAAAAATGTTAAGTTAAATTATTATTTTTAGGTCTATTTATGAATAGGCCCCTAATTTTAGGTCTATTTATGAATAGGCCCCTAATAGCCCTGGGCCCCAGTGCATTGCACTGCCTGCAATGCCGTAGACGCCACTGCATGAATGGGATAACACTTACCGAAGTAAGGCTTCCAGAAGGAATCTTCCTTGTACTTCTCATTCAGAATATGAATGGCTAACAGTACATTTGGCATCGACTTCAATATCGGATCAGTTTCTGCCAGCTTACCTGAAAGTTGAGAAAAGCACATTAATTCAATATTAGAAATTACGCAACAAAAACCAAATTAATTTTATAATCAACTTGTTTTGGTATACCTTTGTTTTCTTTTAAACAAACTGTACACTCATTAATGTTATTTTTCTAAGTGAAAATATTTAATAACAAAACAGCAAATTTTTCATAAAGGAAAGTTTATAAAATATATGCTACAACTTAGTAGAAGGTTTCTCTTAGATTTTTGTTTGCAACAAAGGGACATGTTCTTGTAACAAATGGAGGTGGGGGGGGGGAGGGTGTGAGTATGTACCAGGGCTTGCTTGTCCCAGTAGCTGGGTGTCATGTTCTTTAACCTCAATAACTCTTAAATGAATTACAGTAAAACTTTCCTAAGTCAACTTTGCCTAACTCAAATAATTTCTACATTAATCTTATTTTATGGCAAATTGTTGTTTTCCATTATTTAACAATCTGCAAGTCAAATTTTATCTAAGTCGAACAATTTTTCAAAGCCATTTTTGATTCGACAAGTTCAACTGTATTTATAGGTAAGCAGATACAATTTTAACTATAATTATGATTTATATGATAATTACGTATTATATAAACATTATTTTAAATATTAAAACTCACCAATTTCTGACTGCTTAGCTGTCTCTACAGTTACCATGATCTTTCTTGGTATTGATAAAAATACATCATCCTCCTACAAAGCAGCAAATAAATGTATATATATATATTGATAAAACATTCCTTTAGGCTAATTTTTAAAAAGACGGTCCATCTATTTTATACCTCCATGGACGGTCATAGTATCGTCACCGTTTTCACAAATCATAATATAGGAATTTGTACCTGGCCTTTTGCCAAGGAATACAAGGCGCAATAAAAATAAATTTAAAAAAAAACAATTGGTGATCAACAAAGACACCAGAGATGACAAAAAACAGAGAATTTGGACAGTTAGGTGAGATTTAGTTAGGGAACAAACCAAGATAACAAGATGCATGTTGTAACTTGCTAGGAAGGCTATTCCAAAGCCTAGGTGAAGCAATTGAAAAGGCCTTATCACCAGCATTTTTATTAGACCGAGGTATACGAAGACAAAATAACCAGATGAATGAAGATTATATGGCCATGGCGATATTGTTGCCTAGAGGTAAAGT